TTTCACCAGCATGGTTATGATGGTAAACCATGGCTGAGCCTCATGACCTGCTGGACTGTCACTTCCATTTGTCTCACAGGTCTGGTAACAGCTCTCCCATCCCCATCCCACCACGACATGTACTTTGCTGATTCTAGTGGCCCAATTAACATACTGGATTCTTCACCAGACTGAAAGCTCCCTGCAGGCAGGTCCCTTCATGCTCATCTTTGTGTTGCTAGTGCTTAGGACAGAGTGCTCAATAACAGAGGAATGCATCCATAAACACGTGAAGACAATGTCAGAAACAAATAAGATGATGGATGCTCATTTAAAAATACCCACTATAAAAGTCCCATAAATGAAAAGTATTAAGAATAATAAATATATATTGAGTATATAGAGTAATAAATATATATTTCCCATAAATATATATCTTAAATATATATTGTAACTCCAAAGTGCTTCTATATTCTAACAACTAGATGGAAGCCATTTATAAACAGCAGCATCCATTTGGCAACCCCTTTCCTTTCCATTTCTAAAACATCACCAACCAAAATGCAACACTCTGAGATGAGGGTATGTTCTGCATATTTAACTACAAAAATCAAACTCCAATTTGAGCTCTGCCATTACTCGTCTTGGTTAGAATTCCACATCTGCCTGTCAGCCCGGAGGATTCAGCAAGTCGCACCGGGCACATGGAGGAGTTGGCAGGATTGTCACCTGCACAGAGGTGCCCTGGAGCTGATTAGTACCCTTGTGACACAGTGATACTTGGATGAATGCTTCCTCCAGGGGTGCTCCTGTGTGGGGTTGGGGGGCCAGGCAGGCAATGCTCCCCTCCACCCCCCCGAGTCACATGGAGCAGCCTCACTTGTCTGTATTTTCTAAATGTTTCCAAGAAAGATTTTATTGGAAGGAAGAAATCTATGGCTAAAAATAAAACTTGAAAACCACTATTTTAAATAAACCCAAAGAAGTGTAGAGGGAAGAACTACCATTTATTGAGTACTTAATATGCACTGGGTAATGTTAAAACATTATAACAATTTCATTTAACCCGCGCCACAACTTTCTAAGATAGAGAATAGTTAACCTATTTTAGAGAAGAACAAACTGAGGTTCAGAGAAGGGAATTCTCATAACCAGCAGGAGCCCAGAGCGATGATGTGATTCCAAAGCCACATTGTTTTATGTCCCATTCATCTCTAGAAATCCTGTCACTTCTCAACCTTCTTTCCACGGCCCCTCTTCTTTCCCCACTTACAAGCCTGCTCTCAGTCGTTTACACTCATGGATTAATTAACTCATTACCATTAGGGGTGAATGAACCTTTGTCAATTTGTTACTTCCTAACAATATTCATTCATTAAAGAATCATTGATGGAGCATCTAATAGATGCTTGGTACTGGGCAAGGCCCCGGGGACACAGACCATCAAGGCACTGCCTCTATCAACAAGTACTCACAGACCAAGAGGGAGAAACACAGAAACCAATAAATAGGAATATTAAAAATGGTACCATAGAGGGCCGGTTCCATGGCTTAGCGGTTAAGTGCACACGCTCTGCTGCTGGCGGCCCGAGTTCGGATCTCGGGCGCGCACCGACGCACCGCTTCTCCGGCCATGCTGAGGCCGCGTCCCACATACAGCAACTAGAAGGACGTGCAACTATGACATACAACTATCTACTGGGGCTTTGGGGAAAAAAAAAAGGAGGAGGATTAGCAATAGATGTTAGCTCAGAGCCAGTCTTCCTCAGCAAAAAGAGGAGGATTAGCATGGATGTTAGCTCAGGGCTGATCTTCCTCACAAAAAAAAAAAAAAAAATGGTACCATAGATGCCTGTACCAGGAACAGCGTGGGAACAGAGGTCATGGGGAGAGGAAAAGAGGGACAGCTACTGTCTTCTTTATTATCAAATGGTACCATAGATGCCTGTACCAGGAACAGCGTGGGGACAGAGGTCATGGGGAGAGGAAAGGAGGGACAGCTACTGTCTTCTTTACTATCAGTATTTGATGGTGTCTGTTGCTGACATGTCTTCTGGTCATACTGGAATAGATCCCAGCACCTCCAGCATTCCTCATGCCTCTGGGAAAAGGGGCTCAGATATCAGAGGGTATCCTTGTCCCATTACCTCTTCAGTCCTTAGGGCAGGCAGTCCTTTTCCAGGAGGTATGACACACCGAAACTCATCAGATTTATTTTCATTGTCCTTGAAGAATAATTTGACTTGAAATACATTTAGACATTAAAAAAAAAAAAAAAAAAACCTGACTCTTAAAAGTAACTCTATCCCTTGCCTTCCCACTTAGACGTTCCTGTCCTGGGCTAAGTCAAAGGAAGACACTGTTCTACTGCAATTCCCTGTTCACCCAAAACCCTCTGTGTGTCTAGTTGAAATGGAATGTGTTAGTCCTCCCTTGCTCTTTCTTTCTAATCCAATAAGAACCCACTACTGGGCCTCTAATGGGAGTGGTCAGAGAGCTGAAGGTCCAAGCATTAAGGTAAACCCCTGCTCTCATCCCCAAGGAGAAGCTCAAATCAATCTTCCTCTCCAAGTTTCCATTTTCCTTGAGCAATTCAACTTTTTTCCCCCAAAAGACTTGCCTTTCAGAATCTAAACAGTGAAAACAACTGTCATGGTAATAAGCCACTGATTAGAGCAAAACACATGCCACAGAGCAACCCTCGGCCACATGAACACAGCCGTGAGTGCCACTGAGAGGCACAGAGAACACAACGTGATACGCAGCAGAGCACAAATGCCTAACCAGGTGTTGTCAAAACACACGAGTTATCCCAGCTCTGGAAATGTACTTGAAGGAAATAATTCACAGGAAGAAAGAAGTATGAAAAAGCTTTCTTGCAATGTGATATATGATAGTAGAAAATTGAGACAGTGACGGAGGCACAGCTGAGTAAATTATAGGCTATTAAAAACGACCATTATGAAGTCTGAGTAACAGCACAAAAAATGTTATGGATATGTTTTTAAGTTAAAAATAACATAATTGCATATATAATATGATTGCAAATATGTAAAAAAATTCTGTTTGCCTAAGGACAGTGGAGTCATGGGTAGTGTTTAAAAATGTCGCTAGACGTTATAATATCGTCTTTACAATAGAAAAAGATTCAGAGGAAAACAGGTGATGAGTCATTGCCTGACAATTGTCAGTATGTAAGAAAGTCCCCTTTACAGTGACAATGACAGGCAGTTAAATGTGAGCGCAGATGCCAGGATCCCTTCTCTTATCTCGGTTTATTTATTTATTTTTTTTATAATTTTATTTATTTATTTCCCCCCCCCAAGCCCCAGTAGATAGCTGTACGTCATAGCTGCACATCCTTCTAGTTGCTGTATGTGGGACGTGGCCTCAGCATGGCCGGAGAAGCGGTGCACCAGCGCGCACCCGGGATCCGAACCCGGGCCGCCAACAGCGGAGTGCGCACACCCAACTGCCAAGCCACGGGGCCAGCCCCTCGGTTTATTTATTAATGTTGACCTTTCCAGGAATTAAAATTAGTCTGATCAACAAATCACAAACAGACTGTACATGATTGTCAACAGATAATTAGTAAATACCGAAAGGTGCCAAGACATGGAATTTGAGAGCACAGTACAGACAGGGGGGAGGGGGAGGCAAGGCGGGAGGCATCTCAGCCCACTAGGTCCACAATCAGTTTCCTAATGTCAAAGTTGGGGGCATCTGTGCTCTTGGTCTCTCAGTGTAGACAGATGCTGGAGAAACTTGAAAATTTCTTCTTTAAACTCAGACCCTGCAGACCCTCCTAGGCCTTGCCTAGCCCCCATTCTCTGTGTGCCTGCTGTCCACACAGCTGGAGCCACAAGACAACCCCACAGGTGCAGCCCTGCCTCCGTCTCCACAACCAGCCCTGGGCTGAGATGGAGAGCTTTTGTGTTTTGTTTTGTTTTGTTTTTGCATATATATTTTTTCATTTACTGTAGTAAAATATACATAACATAAAGTGTATCATTTTAATCATTTTTAAGTGTACAATTCAGTGGTGTTAAGGATATTCACATTGTTGTGCAAACATCACCTCCATCCATCTCCAGAAGTTTTCATCCTCCCATACTGAAACTCCAGACCCATTAAACACTAACTCCCCCTCCCACTCCCCCAGGCCCTGGCGGCCACCCTTCTACTTTCTGCTCTATGAATTTGACTACTCTAGGGACCTCATATAAGTAGAATCATACAGTGTTTGTCCGTTTGTGTCTGACTCATTGCACTTAGCATAATGTCCCCAAGGTTCATCCATGTTGAAGCATGTGTCAGAATTTCCTTCCTTTTTAAGGCTGAATAACATTCCACTGTATGTATGTACCACAAGATGGAGAGTTTTAAGGGGCTACAGCCCACCTCTCTTGGGATTACTATCAGGTCATCTTGTTACTGACCCAGCCCTGACCTCAAGCTCAATTCTGAGAAATGGGCTTCCCTCTCCTTCTCAGGCCTCACACTGGCTCATTCTCCACTTCCACTACTTCTATAGTGGACCTTTATTTGGGAACCTGCCTAGACTTCCAGCACTTCCTCCCAGACCCTGGAAGATTCATACCTTCTACCCCAGGACAGTGGCTGGGGCCTGTCACCTGTTGCTGACTGCTTGTCCAGGGTTCCCACCTTGGGCTATGTTCAGTCCACCAATCAAGGCATCAATAACTCACCTTGGATCCAAGATGGCAGCCACCTGCCTAAACTGCATTGTTTTGACTGCACCTTTGTCTACTCAGCCTCTTCTGCCAGGTGGATCCCTCTCTCTGTTCCCGTACAGGGAGAAGGTATTGTTCCAAGAGATGCACCTTCCCCGTGGGACTTGTGTCTACAGCAAACCCAGCCTCCTGTCCACATTCCGATTTTCTTCCCCTCTATTGCCAAGCACCAGAGACCTCTCTGCAACTTTCCTGTCTCTGTCCAAACCCTAGAATATTAGACCGAAGGCACAGAGTCTAGAAAAGCACAGATCCAGCCACACTTACAGCCAGAGCGAGTTCCTTCCTTGAGTGATGACACCAGTGAATCTGGTCAGACGTCTGGCATCCACTTCAATCCACTGATGGAGGTCGTTCCTTCCGGCGCACCACGCCCCGTCATAAAAGTCATTTTCATTAATACCTGCCTGGAAAGAAAGAGAGGTGTTCTTCAGAAAGACCCAGAATTGAAGAAAATTAAGACAAATTTTTTCATGAGACTGAGAGGAAGGGAGCAGGGGATAGAAGAGAATGAGGAAGGGGATAAAGAAAAAAAATTGAATTCCTTATTCTAAATCATAAAAGGAGTTGCTTATTATTAACAAGTTGGAAATATTTCAATATGATATGTCCTCTTCTTGCCCAGCGTGAAAGATGAAATTTAATGAGTTCTGCTATTACTCATTCATCCAACATACTTAGACCATCTCCTACGTACCAGCCTACACACACCAGGTGCTGGGGATATGAAGGTGAATCGTTCCCTCTCAGAACCTCACCATCCAGGCAGGAAGAAAGAGATGAAAATAGACGAATTAGAACACAATGGGCACGTGCTATTTCAGGAATAGGAGCAAACTGCTATGGGAGCATTTAAGGTTAGCACAGCTAATGTGGTCTGGGGAGACCATGGACAGAGAGCCCCAAGGCAAAGGTGATACTTGAGCTGGGTGTTGAAGGGTCAGTTTATCTTGTGAATATTTATTTATTAGCATTTAAGTCATTTGATGTGTTGAGTATCAGCTATTATTGCTACCAAAGATTCTTTTGATCTGAATTTACAAGGTAGGTGAAGTTTCTGTCTGGGACGTTCCCTATATTATCACCATTTGGAGAGAGAATTCTTTGACCTAAGAAAAAAAAAGGATGATATTTGGACCAAGTGAAGCTTCCTAATTTACTAAGATCTGTCTGCATTAATCTCATTTTTCTATGGCTATTTTGCAAGTACATAATCAGATGAGAATAAGTCTGAATGATGTTCGAAAGATAAAAATGATAAGCCAGCCCATCTGCTCTACCTCTGAGCACTTGTCAGCTCAAATTCTGGGACAGCCTTACTTTTAATGGCCAACAGTGATGTGAAACTCAGAGGCCAGCGTTAACAGAGGAACACCTGGCCAAGGTTCCATTAGCAAACTCTATCCATCACCGCCCAGCTAACATAGCCTTGTATCAGGACCAAACCACAGTATGTGCATTCCCAATCAACTCCTGAAACAAGCTTGAAAGAGCTTTGAGGGGAAATGTCAGAAGACTAACAAATCATGGTCTTCTAACAGCACTACCATCTCAAATGAGGGTGAATAAGAAAGCTATTAGTTAGCACTCTCCAGAAACCCAAGCTCTCAATTAACCAGCACCTCAGGGTCTGATGGCATACCAAGTGTCTATAATAAGGACCTAGAGGGCTGCAAGGTCCTGCCTTCTAGAACCATCAAAGAAAGGCTGAATTTTCCAAGTGTGTGTTACTGTCCTTAACTGTGCTTCAGTGCATTTTGTCAAAGTGGTGGTGACTCTGTTAAGCATAACCTCTCATTTCTCAACACTGCCAGTCGACAGGGAGATCACTATCCCAGCCTGGAGGCTGTAATTACACAATCACTCCCTTTCTTCACTAAAGGCACTTATCCTCCTGACGACAGAGACCCACAGCACATTACTGACCTACAATATCACAACCCATCTTCTTTCAAGAAACTATAATACACACTTAGTCTTTGTTGTGGTTCCTCTTTTCTTGTAAACAGCCCATGAGACTAGTGTTTAGAATAGTTCCATCCACTTAATAAAGTTAATCTTCACCATGTCTCTACTATGTGCCAAGTATGGCCTGGGCAAGAGGAATGTGAAGGCAGAAAACATGTGCAGCCCTGCCCTCCTAGAGCTGAGAAAGGACACGCAGACTAAAATCCACACAGGGACCTTGTATGTTGGTCTCGGCATCTTAAAATCAACCACTGCACAGTGTGCTGGTTAAGAGCTCGTGCACTGAAGTCCCCCTGCTTGAGTGTGAATCCCGGCTCTGCCACTTATACGCTGTATAAACCCAGGCAATTTGCCTAAATGCTCTGTGCCTCGGTTTCTCCATCCATTAGAGGGAGGACAACGATCATTTTTCCCTTAGGGTGTTGATTGTGCTTATAACAGGGCCTGGCACATAGCATGGGCTCAAAAAATAAATAAAATCTCAATACATGTTAGTTATCAGTATATTTAAAACAATGAATATTTGGCAAATTGCGGAAATATGGGTGCTTTACAAATTATTTCAAATTTTACAAAATTCTAGTGAATCACAATACTATTCTAGTTAACAGCTGTCAAATTTTCTACAATTCAAATGTCCAGAATAGAGTTACAAACTGAAAAAAGAGGAGACCCATGAGTCTAAAGTTCTCAACAGCGTGTTGCCCCCGCCCCCCGTCAGATATTTGGCAATGTCTGAGGTCGTTTCTGTCTGTCACAACTGAAGGAGATGCGTGCTACTGGCAACTAACGGACAGAGGCCAGGGATGCTGCTAAACATTCTACAATGCACAGGACAGCACCCACCACAGAGAATTGCCCGACCCAAAATGTCAACTGTGCTGAGGCTGAGAATGCCTGGTCACGGGCCAGGCCAACAAGAACGGAGCTGCCACGCAGCCCGGGATGTTCCCATTATAGGGTCACGGAAGCCTGGAGGAGCTATCCTCATGCCATTCGACCAAAGTCTACTGACTGGGATTTGGAATTAAACTTTAGGTGCCTAGTTTTGCCAGCCTGGATATTTTGCCTCTGCTGCCAATCTCATTTCTTCCTGAGCACACTAGAGTCAATTAAATGTGGAAGGTGTCAGGGGATTGGAGAGTCCTTCCTGAAACTGACTCATCATGGAAATGACAGCCACCTCTGCAAAACCAATTATGAATTTATAAAGCAAGTGCCTGGGAGAATTCAGTGAAAGAGGAGGTACCAGCCCCAGAGATGTCACCAAATTACATCATGGTGCAATATGTGATATCATACAATGCCTCTGTGAATCCAAGAAAAGGGTACGGTCATCCCTTGCTGTGTAATAATGCAATAAAATACTTCATCCATTTTGGAGAAATTTCAATCAGAAGTTGTTGAAATAAAAGTTTTGATTCTTTAGGGGCTGGCCCGGTGGTGTAGTGGTTAAGTTCACGTGCTCTGCTTCAGTGGCACGGGGTTCACAGGTTTGGATCCTGGGTGCAAACCTACACACTGCTTATCAAGCCGTGCCGTGGCAGGCGTCCCACATGTAAAATGGAGGAAGATGGGCACATGGGCACAGATGTTAGTTCAGGGCCAGTCTTCCTCACCAAAAAAAAAAAAAAAAAAGGTTTGATTATTTAAAGTATAAGCTAATCTTGAAAACACAACTAACATGGAATGATTATTTGCACTACAGCACCAAATAAATTGAAAATTAATGTAATTTTTCTCAAGACAATTAAGTTATATGCATCGTTTATCTCAAAAAACCCATCAACGCATCTAACAGACTAAATTTTGCTTAAAATAAATGTGGGAATTATTAAATATATAATAAAGAGAAAACCTGATACTACCTATTTAAGACCAGTCAGATAAGATTTTTCTGTTTCAAGATGACAGAGTAAGTATATTGGTTTTTCCATGTTCTCCTCTCAAAAATTCTCCCCAAACAAAGAAAACAAGAAATACAACCTCTGATAAAACTAGGGCACATTTGTAATCCCCAAATTACAACATGAGAAGACAGAAATCAGACGAAGGAATCTTGAATGACTCAGTCGGAGAAGAAGGTGCCAACTTCCCAGTGGCACACCAGTGAGAAGAAAGCCACACAGAACCTAAAACAGCTCAGAAACCAGATTCTCAGGTATCTTGGAAGGTGAGAGGGAGGCAGGACTGAAAACAGGGAACTAATTCAAAATGTGTATTAAGAAAATTAGATTCCTACACCCCCACTCCACAGAAGACCTGAAATTTTTCTCTGAAAAAAAAAAAACAACCATAAATCCTCCTCATTTGAAGATCCCAGACACAGAGGAGAGCAGGTGTGATGTGACAGATGAAAACAGGGAACTCAGTAAGATATCAGCATACACTGCAGAGTGAGGTGCCCCAGCTCCCTTCCTCCACCCAAGTCTAGAACACAATGCAGCCAGGCTCAGAACAAACACACAAAATAAACAACTAAAAATATAATGCAGAACAGAAGAAAATCTCAGAGGAACTATAATAAGATCCCTTGAACAAGATCTTGCTTGCAGAAAACAAGAATAGGATATTCTTAAAAATGAAAAAATATTGGACAAGAAAGAGCTCTAGGAATGTGACAATTCCACTAACAATAGATAAGAAGAGAAAAATAAGAAGAGCCGAGGAAGAAATCCGGAAGATTTTTAGGGGAAGAAATTACAAAAAAAAATACCATAAGATAATGTCCCAGATTTGTGAGGCTTAAGTCTCCAAAACACTAAGGATCTAGTACAATGAATATAATAAGACCCACACCAAGGCACAGCTATGTGAACTTCAAAACATCAGAAATAAAGAGAACATTCTAAAAGCTTCCAAAGAGGAAACAAATAGTAAAACAAATACGTAAAAACAAAGGAAAAGAGTAAGAATGGTACCAGAATTCTCAATAGCAACATCTGAAGCTAGAAGAATGGAGGGGTAATGCCTTCAAAATTCTGAAGGAAAAGATTTTCTCATCCTAGAATTTTACACTCAGCCAAACTACCAATCAATTGTGATGGTAAAAAAAGACATTTTCAGATTCACAGATCCTCAAAGAATTGATCTCTCATGCACCCTGTCCACGAGCTACTAGAGAATGCACTCCACAAAAATGAGCCAGAAGACCAAAAAAGAGGAAGATATCAGATCCAGAAATCAAGGGCTCCAACATAGGAGAGAACTCCCAGAATGACGGAAGAAAGTCCCAAGAGAGTAGCTACATAGGAGACCCAGAAAGCAACCCATTCAGCATACAGGAGGTCAAAGGGCTCATGAAGAGATGTCTACAGAAACAAAAAAAGTGAGAAAACCATTGAACAGGTTTGACCTTATAGAAAATTACAGTCATGTGCCACATAACGGTGTTTCAGTCAACAACAGACCGCATATACAACAGTGGTCCCAGAAGATTAGTACC